AGCTCCTGTGTTAGAAAGCTGGTCCCCAGTGAGGCAGTGCTGATCTACGGGAGGTGTGTAGGTTACGGGGACAGTGCCCCTGTTGAAAGCACTGATGCTACCATTTCAGAAGTGGCCTCTTTACAAAAGGACAGGATTGCCCTTCCCGTGTTCTCTCTTGCTCTTTAGTCTCCCACCAAAGGATGATGCAGCAAGACTCTTACAGATACCCGCTGCTCCATCTCAGGTTTCCCAGCCTCCACACTTGTGAAAAAAAGCTTCTGCTCTTCGGATGTAATGAGGGGCTCAAAAAGGTCAGACTTCAAAATAAAAGAATTATATACCTTCCAATCTTAGTGGACACCATGGTTACTCTGATCTAATTGGTCATGAAAAGTGCCTTAGGGTAAGAACTTTGTCCTGTAATACAGACTGAGATAAATTAAGGGTGCTGGACTTGGGTCCAAAATCCTGGGTTTTAACCCCAGATCTGCCCGAGATGTGACCCCATTTAAGTCACCTACTCTCATTTGGCCTTAGTTTCTTCAGTCGTAAAATAGCAATAATAAAATTTGCATTGCTCTATTTGTACAGCTATATTGAAGATTATATTAGGAAAGATACATCAAAGTACACTGTAAGCTCTACTACAAGTGGTTCTCTACTAGGGCAATTTTGTAGAAGACATTTAATAATATCTAGAGGGATTTTTGGTTGTGAAAATGGGGAAGGGACTAGGTTCTACTTGTACCTCGTGTGTAGAATACACACATTCTCACCAAAACATAGTCATTGTTCTAAGCTCAAACAGTAGTTACATGTAAATTTAACACAGTGTTCAAAATTCCATCAAGTTGTAGACTCAGCATCTCAGTGCAGTATCTTACATGGTAAAATAGTTTTGGCCCATTAGTGTCTTTGAATTATCTAGTAACTTGTAAAATTACAAATTTAAAACTATAATACTTTGAAGACTATTATCTTGACAAAGTCATTTTAATACTTAACAATGGGGGATTAACCTCAACCCTATAAAAAATTCTAAAGTTAATCTAATCAAGCAATATATTTCTAACTATGCTTTGATGTTTCAGATTAGTTTATATATTTCTTGATATCTAAAGGCTTTTTTAAGATGCATTTTATCTCTAATTACATTCTTAAAAAGGAAAAAAAGAAAAAAAAGAGCCTGAACTGTAGGTCAATTTTTAAAAGTACCAAGGTCATCAAAAGCCAAAAGTAACTAATTTTTACAGTCATTGTTTAAAATTCTACAAAGTGATTAAAGCTCACCTGTCACCATAACTCCTACCCATTGGGAGTACTGCACGAAGCACATTTTTAAATGTACTATAAAGTCCAATGTAAATATAGCATTGAAAGAAATGTCTTCAAACAACAACTTTATTGAAATCTTTAATATTTCATTCATTGAGTAGTTACTTTGAGTTAACAAAATAAAAGCAGACACCATCTGCTAAACATCACCACTAAGCTACACTCTATATCCCTAAAAATAATGCAATTAGAAAATTCATTTTTATAACTTTTGCATTTTCTAATTGACTCACTATATATGAATTCAAAAAATGCAATGAAGTTGGTACACTTCTGGCTGAAAAAGATGAATTCCATGCTAATACATGGTACAAGAATGTTTCTGACCTCATCTTTTGACACTGGTTTGGAAATTGTGTTAAGCGTGTGTGTGTGTGTGTGTCTCCTAAACTTTTTGCCCCACTAAGAGTCACCATAATTATCATATCAGCATGCTGTCTGGGGCTAGGGGTGTAGTCCAGTGGTACAGAATTCTCCTCACATACATGAGTCCCTGGGTTCAATTCCCAACCCCACAAAAAATAGTAATAATAGTTTTTAAAATGCTACCTAACTTCTCTTAATAGCTGAATACTCTCATTTTTCTTGCCTATCTACAACCATTAAAAGGATTTTAAAGCTAATCGTATAACAATAACTGGGATAAAATTTTTAAAAATCATCCTCAGGGCTGGGGATTTAGATCAGTGGTTCCGCCACCTGCCTCGCAAGCACAAGGATCTGAGTTTGATCCCCAGTACAAAAAAAAATCATCCTCAAATAGAAGACTGTTCTATAGAAAATACTATGATGACATCAAATACTTTTTACTATTCTATTTCCCAGAAAAGAGCTGTATCCACCAATGTCCCATATTTTCATAACACCAGCAACTTTGACATTACAACAGGATGTAATACAGAACTAAACCCTTTTAAAAGTCCTAAAAAATATCTTTTCCACTAGCAAATTTTAAAACTTACAAAAAAATTAACATGCTCCTAATTTCATCAGCTTCTGATTTTTCCTTGCTTTTTTTCAACGTTGATTTGCCTTACTCAGTGATGGTGAACCTACTGCACGAACCACATTGGGTTATTTGTGTCATCGAAAGCTCTAAAAGGTTCATCTTCACTGCCTTATGTTGTCACCAGCTACAGTCTGGATCGTGAATGGCCTTCAACATCCCATGTGCTACATGGGCCAAAGGCTTAGCTGCTGAGGGACACTTCTGCAAGACGGAGGAGCTTTCCAAAGGTGGACAGACTGAGGCATGGAGGGGACTCTTGAAGGGGACTATGGGACCCCAGCCCAGTCCCTTGCTCTTTCCACCTTTAGTTCCCTGGCCATGGCGTGAGCCTTTCTGCTCTGCCACATTTTTCCATTGCTTCCCCACAGCCTCAAAGTACAGATGGAGTCAATCGATCACAGCCTGGAATTTCCAAAACCAGGAGCCATAATGAAACTTTTCTGTATCTAAGTCAGTTATCTTGGGTATTTTGTTACAGTAACAAAAATCTGATTAAGACATTACCTCAAATAAGAAAGCATATAAAAGCCACGTAAGTAGGAGATTAACAATGAAATAATTCGTCAGTTAAGAAACATTTAAGATTTACTATGCCCTCATGAAAATGTTTTCTTCCTTTGTCTTTAATGTGAAGAATCACATACTCGTATACACTTCTGAAACTTTTATGTAGCCATTCCGGTACATTTCCCAGGTCTAATTCTTAAAAACAGGATGTCAAGATTTTCTATCATTACAGATCTGCCATTATTACCGAATTCCAAACTTTTAAGAATGTGTCTGGATTCAAAGACCTGTGTAATTTTGAATGTTTTTTGCTTTAAAACTAGATGCCAACAAATAGCGGCCAAAAGTAGAGCAACTCATTGTGAAAGCGCTGGCTCCCAACAGCGGCCGCGCAGGTCGCTTAATTGGCATCTGGAATTCAGTCTTCCACTGAAACAAGGGCACAAATGCTGCCCCTTTTCCCAGGGCTCCTCACAAAGGCTCCTAAGCAGTTTTAAAAGAAAATTAACATTAGATACTTTAAAACAAACTACACAAAAAGGCTTATGCAAAAGACATAAAATACGTCTCCTCATCCTGTTCAATTCTTCCATCTCCTCCATATCTGTGTCAAAGTTCTTCAAGCTTTCTGTTACCTAAAACTAAGTCTCTTAAGAGAAAAACATTAAATAAACCTGCATTTCCCACTATTAGAAGCCCCCCTACTGCTGCTAAAACAATGATTTACAGTAGACCCATATGTTGAAACCAGCATTTGGAACACTGTATTTATTATTTTTAAGAGTCCTTGGTCCTGGGCAATAGCTCAGGGATAGAGCACTACCTAGTACACACAAGGACCCAGTTTCCACCCCCAGCATGGCCAAAAACAAGAGTTCTGACTCTAACTTGCTATGATGGAAACTTTACCCTGAAATGACAGCACTGTGTGCATGTGTGTGCAAACGTGTGTGTGTGTGTGTGTGTGCGTGCGCCTACTACTGGTTTAAGCTCTAGTGTGGGTACTAACAATACATTAAAACACTTTGCAAGGAAGGCAAGTGTCCAACTGCAAAGGTGACAAATGACAACCTGACAGCTGTCCAAGCTGGGGGTGGAGCAAGAGGAAGGGGGAAGCTGATGGGGTGAGGGGTCCCTGGGGAGAGACCTGAGATAAGGTCCAAAGGAGCGAGGAGAAAACTCCCTCTGCCTGGGGAAGAGGGAAGGCAGGAAGACCAGGGAACCCCAGAGGGGCTGAAGCAGAAAGCCAGGCCAGCAGGGAGCAGGCAGGGGAGGCGGAACCTCAGGGAACCCAGCAGGGCTGGGCCTGGAGGCTCTGAGCAGGTTGGAGGTGGGCTCACACTGGGATTTGGAAAAGAACCATCCCAGGTCTGTACTGCCACCTATGGAAGCTGATGCAGAGGTTAGGCCACCTGGCTACAGCACAATGGAGCTGGTGACACAGGTGTCATCTAACAACCCCTTCCCACTGCCCACACATCCTACCAGGAGTGCAGAAGCAGATGCAAGGCCTCAGCCTGGAGGCGCACACCTGTGATCCCAGCACTCGAGAGGCTGAGGCCGGAGGATCACTGCAAGTTCAAGGACAGCCCAGGCTACATAGCCAGGAAAAAAAAAAAAAACTATCCAAACAACTTGCAAGAATATGATTTTGCATCACTTAAACACTTTAAAGAAAAACATCACTTTAAAGACTATTGTTCACCCACCAAAGGAATCAAATATGTATTAGTAGAACCAGGATATGACCCTTCACTGTGTCCTATCTAAAATCGAGTATGGCTACATAATTTTTCTCTCTTTATATCTCTTTTGAACCCAGCTAAACTGTATTTCACAGGACAGATATTTCCTAGAATAACCCAACAGTAATATTATTTTTCTTTTGATATTTCTCTGATTTCAGTGGTAGACTGCTTGCCTTGCATGCATGGGCCCTTGGGTTTGATTCCCAGCACTGAATACATAAATAAATGAAAATGTTTAATGTTTTCCAAAACTATTTAAATATATTCTTACTACTTACAGGAATTTTCCCTGCATGGTCCTAGTAACTTGCCATCAAAGCTCTTAGAAGCTGAGAGCAAGTACACTGAGAGGCATTTGTACACTTTAAATACAGTTTAGAATAAAATTTTGCAGTAAAAATAGCATTAAAAACTAGCACCTTTTTGTTGGTGATTGGAATGGACAAGAAATAGTTGGGTTGATAATCATTGTGCTTTTTTTTCCTCTTCTTTTCTTGCTCGCTCTTGATTGATTCCTTTTCTTTACTCTTCGAGTTTATCTGTGGCACATCAGGATCTAGAAAAAAGAAGGCAACTAACAATGTGTGTGAATATTTCAACAAAGATGATACAGTTAGAAAAGGAAAGCAGCAATATATAAGTGGCAGTGACTCATAACTGTCATTTTTAAAACTAAAGCAGGGTTGGCAAAAACTTCTATAAAGGACACAAACTTTTAGTATTTGCAGATCATACGCTCTCTCTCCCAACTACACAACTCCAAAGAAACATAAAAGAAGTGGTATAGCTTTGTTTCAATAAAACTTTATTTACAAAGCAACTAGTCAGCCTGTGGGCATAGTGTGCTAGCCCCTCATCTGAGGTCCAGCTAACAACCATTCTCTCCTACATGCCATGGCTTTACTAACCCTGGGAAACATCATTTTTTCATCCAACGCCAATGACCTAACCTCCTCCTGCTAGAGCAGACCCCTAAAGTCTCCACCACCCTTAGGGGACCAAGGCCTCAACACACTGGCTTTGAGGACATTCAAGATTCACTGATCGCACTTGGCTTTGAGGGCATTCAAGATTCACCGATCGCACTTGCGATCAGTTCCAAAGGTGTCCAGAGGAAATTCCAAAGCCTTCCCACTGGCCTAAATTGGGACAATTTAAGCATCAAATTGAGTAACAAATTGAGTGGTGTAAAGTATTTCACACAGTTCATAACAATACTAAACAGAAAAAAGAAAATTAAAACTAAAAACTCACAGGTCACATTCGAAGGACTCCAGAGAACCATGACTCTAAAAATCTGATAACAAAGGGAATAAAATCGGGCATCTATCTAGCCTTTTATTATAACAGGATATTGTTCAGTAAATAAAATAGCTAAGGTAAAGTTCTTTAAATTTCCAGCTAATAAATGCAAATGCACAGAGATAAAATATCCCCATTTTGAAATGTTTAACAAAGCAATAGATCAACCCAAAGATCATCAATAGATGATCCATTAGGTGGAAAGCTGATAGGGAATTTCAATAATGGGACATTGAGACAATAAGACCTGAAGCCACTCATCAGTCTTAAGATCACAAAAAAGACACAAACAAACATTGTGTTAACTGATATCACACTATGGAAGTTCAAAATATTATCTTTGGCCAGGCATAGTGGCACATGTCTGTCATCCCAGCACTTGGGAGGATGAAGTAGGAGAATCATCGAAAGTCTGAGGCCAGCCTGGGCTACGTAGTGAGCTCAAGGCCAGCCTCAACTACATAGGGAAACCTTGTCTCAAAAAAAATCAGAAAAAAAAGAAAATATTATTTTTGGAGCATTTTCATCAATATACTAAACATAATTAAGCCTCCCTTTCTAACGACTTGTTTATTAGAAATACGAGGAACAGAGAAATATATTAAATGATCAGAAGGAGAATATCTATACAACCCAACTTCCTCAAAAGTACACACATACACACACACACGCATACACACACAGACGAGAAAACAGATTTATACCTGAAAACAGTCAGGATATGCACCAATCACAGTGTGAATATGATCAAAGTAAAACATGTGCATGTATGCAAATGTCACAGTGAAACCCATTAATGTGTGCGATAAATCTGTTAATATTTTTAATGACAATAAAAAGAAATAAAGGGTTCTAACTAGCAAAAACAAAAAGTAAATGCCTGAATATACCCATTTACAAAGCAGAGAGATTTACCAAGTATGATGCATAGACAGTGGTTGCTGTCAAACAGGTTTTTAAAAATCATGACACAATTAGAAACTGACTGGGTGTTTCATGAGAATAGAAATTACTATTATTTATTGGTATAGTAACGATATTTTAGGGACACTATTCAAAAAACATTTCCTGGCCAGGGGATATAGCTCAGTGGTAGAGCATTTGTCTAGTATGCACAAAGGCCTGGGTTTCACCCCTACCACAGTAAATATAAAATTAAAATTTTTAGAGTGCAGAGGAGGAGGCATCCAGGCCACCGTACCACCGCTCCAGGAGCAGGGGAGGCTTCCGGGCCGCCATGCCACTGCTCCCAGCACAGAGAAGGACGCTTCCAGGCCAACTTAGCACTGCTTCCCACACAGAGAAAGAGGCTTCCGGGCTGCCATACCATCACTCCCAATGCAGAAGAGGCTTCCGGGCCACCATACAACCACTCCCAGTGCAGTGGAGGTGAGCCCCATGGGCACAAACAGCACACCTCCGGCACCTCATCCAAATGAGAGGACATGAAAACAAGTCTCAAAACCAGATTTCCAGATCACCTTCAGTAACCCCAAAGGGAAACAAGATGGAACACTCTGATACTCAAACACCTGGATGTCCTGAATTGGAAAAGAAAAGAGGATATGGAAAAAATGAAATCAGAAATAATTTCTCACATAACAGCGGAGATGGTGCTCATAGTGCAACACATGATTAATAAATCTAGAGAGGAGCTGAGGAACATGATGGAATTCCAACACAGAAAACAAAAGGAATCCATAAAACAGATGCAAACAGATTTCCAGAAGATTAAAAACTCCACTGAAAGTCTACACAGCAGAATGAGCCAATGTGAGGACAGAATTTCAGATATAGAAGATAGGATTGCAGTTAGTAACCAGGAAAAGAAAAATAGCTTTAAAATTGTAAAGGACCAAGAGAAAGCAATTCAGTAGCTGCTAGATGATGCAAGTAAGAATAACATAGGACTGACTGGAGTCAATGAAGAAACAGGAAAGGGTGCAGATGACATAAAAAAACTGTTCACAGAAGTGATGGCAGAAAACTTCCCAAGGAGGGGAAAAGAACTTGACATACAAATAAGGGAGGCATATAGGACTCCAATTAGCCTTGATCAAAAAAAAATCTACACATAGGCATATAACTGTTAAGATTCAAGAAAACCAACAGAAGAACAAAGTTCTACAAGCAGTTAGAGAAAAAAAACAAATCACATACAAAGGAGAGTGCATCAGAATCACAGCAGACTTCTCAATGCAAACTCTCAAGGCAAAAAGAGCTCAGAGTGATGTATTCCAAGCCCTAAAGGAAAACAGCCTCCAACTGAGACTGATGTATCCTTCAAAACTATCTTTCAAAATTGATGGAGGAATAAGATACTTTCATGACAAAGAGCACCTTAGGAACTTCATGAATACCAAACCAGCACTCCAAAACATTTCAGACAATATCCTAGAAAAAGACAATGAGGATCACAACCCCAGGAAGCACAGCAGAATGAATCCATCGGGCGCGAAAAGAAATTAAATGCAAAGGGGGAGAATCCAAGAAAAAGAAAAAGTCATAACAATGATAAATCAGTACGTATCAGTTATAACCATCAATGTGAATGGTCTCAATTCACCAATCAAAAGGAATAGACTGGCAGAATGGGTCAAGAAGCAAGATCCAACAATATCCTGCATACAAGAAACACAATTAATTCAAAAAAAAAACTCAGACTGAAAGTTAAAGGGTGGAAAACAATACTCCATGCAACAGGAACCAAAAAAAAAGCAGGAGTACCTATCCTCTTTGCAAATCCAGTGGATTGCAAACCAATAATGATTAAGAGAGACAAAGAAGGACACTACAACCTTGTAAAGGGAACAATCCAAGAGGAAGAGATGACAATCATAAATATCTATGTACCAAATGCTAGTGTCCCCAACTATATAAAACAAATACTAACGGACATGAAAAGTCACATATGCACTAATACAATAGTAGTAGGGGACCTCAATACTCCATTGTCACAAATAGATAGATCAACTAGACAAAAAACAAGCAACAAAATACTAGAATTCAATCAAACTAGTGAACAAATGAACTTAACAGATTTTTACAGAGTATTCCAGCCCACAAAATCAGAATACAAATTCTTTTCAGGTTCACACAGGTTGTTCTCCAAAATAGACCACATACGCGCTCATAGAACATGTTTAAATAAGTGCAAAGGAAGTGACGTTATCTCCTGTATATTATCAGAGCATACTGGGATGAAATTGGAGATCAATAGCAAAGGAAACCGCAAAAATTTCATAAACACCTGGCAATTGAACAACACACTTCTGAATAACCAATGGGTCACAGGGGAAATTAAGGAAGAAATCAGACAGTTCCTTCAATTAAATGAAAATGACAATACAACATATTGGAATCTATGGGACACAATGAAAGCAGTCTTAGGAGGGAAATTCATAACAGTGAATACTCATATTAGGAAAACAGAGCGAGCCCAATTAAACAACCTGATGCTGAACCTCAAGCTTCTAGAAAAAGAAGAGCAGGA